GCTTTTTTTTCTTCTAGTAATACTTTTCTTCTTTTTTTAAGATGTTGGCTATGAAAATATGATCAACACAATGCTCAAAGATCTTTTCAAGTTACTTGTAGCTTGTGTGGCGGAAACCACAGAGACCATCTCTAGAGTCGGGTGCTCTTGTATCAGGTAGTACAGATTTTCTTTTAACTGAGAGTGAAGTAAATAAATATTTGTGTTCTTCAAGTACCTAAAAATTCTCTTTGTTTCCTATCCAAACAGAACATTAACACTAAATGAAAGGTCAAGAAAGAATGGAAGTTGTTGTATTGCTCTTCTTATTGTTGTTGTTTGCTTTCATTTTGTGATATGTTTCCCCTGCATAACATCCTGATTGTACGTGGTATCACCAGCTAAATGATTATTATTTCTGTGAGCCTCTCCTGGGTGACATAGACATGAACATTGAATGCAAACAAAGACTCAGTACTTTGATAGCACATAAATTTCTTCACAATTCTCTAACCTAGCTGGCAGTTCAATAAGGACTGTCATCTGATTGTCAAATGAATGAATGGAATCCAATAGTTGTCTTCTAATAACTGAATATTCAACAATTAGTAGGAGAAGGCCACTGCCTTTTGCCTGTTTACACCTTCTTGCAAATACTCTGAAAAGTTGGGGAACTCCCCAAAGAGATTTTAAGGGTGTGAAGAGGGAAGAGGGGAGAAGTTGAAAGAGTACAAGCAGATTCCAGTGGCCATTAGATCATACCAAATGATTATCTGTGTCTTCCACCATCTTGTTCCTTCTCTGCAGATATGTACTTGTGACAGCTGGTCCTGTTTTTACTGAAGAAATGTGGCGTCTAGCATGTTGTGCCTTAGAGGATGCTTTTTCAGCTACTCTTGAACCAGTGAAGGTATAGCCTATATATTATGATGGACCCCCCCCCCCCAAAAAAGCTACTTACGACCCGGTTTCAAAATTCCAACATCAAAAAACACCTTCCCCTGCAGTCATGTGATCACGTTTTAGGTTCTCAGCAACTGGCCAGCATTTACAGCTGATTACAGCACTCTGTGGTCACATTTACAATGGTTTGGCCAGAAACTGGCATTTTGTTATAGTTTCCAGTAAAACTGACCCATAGCAAATAATGGGTTCACTTAATGACCACAGTTACAATTGCCTTAAAAAAGGTTATAAAATTGGGCCAATCTACATGTTGACCTGCCTTACGATGGTCATGATTATGACTATAATTGCCAGGATCAGTGATGGTGGTAAGTCAAGAACTACCTGTTACTTTCCTTTACACTGGACTTTAGTGAACATTAGTTGCATGGCACAGCAAACCATGTTTAGTTTGCGAATCTTGGTTGCACCATCTTACAAAATGTACCAACCCAATATCTATGATGTGAGCCAAAATTAACTGTACTATCAGGTTTATATTGGAAAAATAGAAAGTACAACTAACAATAGTGTAATATGAGAAGACGCTATTCAGCTTTGTATGTTGCTTAAGATATAGTTTACTATACCAATAACATTTTGCCTCTCTGTAGAATCTGTTGGGCTATTTCCACAGTGGCTCTGAAAATCTGAGCAGTGATGCCTGTGAGGTGAAAATGGCAGCTCCTTCCCTCTCCCCTAGTGCCGAAGCTGAATACTGGAGAATAAGAGCGATGGCCCAACAAGTAAACAACTTTGTTCCATACTTAACTGGTCTGTGCACTGATGCATTCTTAAGACGGCTTAATACTTCCGATAAAATCAATGCTTAGGTTTGACTAGATTATTTGGGAATTTATTTGGAGCATTTTAATCATGCTCTTGAGTTTATTTTATGTTATCCGGTCTATAAAGATGGGGGTTTTATGTTGGTAACATAACTGACTTCAGTTATCTAATGTTAATTACTCTGACATATATCTATACGATTTTATTTATCTGTTTATGTTTAAAGTTTGTGTATTGCCCTTCCGATTCAAGGGAATGATCCCTGGACATTGATGCCCTCACCGAGTTGAATTAAGTTTAAGTAGGCAAGATCAAGAAACCTTATGAAAAATGTAATTCATTGAGTGTTGAGGGTAGAAATATCAGGTATTCGACTGGGCAGATTTTGCCCATTGAACAACTCCATTTGCAATGCAGATTGAAAAGGATCTGCCTTGAGACCCTTGATCCAACAGATTGTTTGGGGAATGTTCTGCACAAAGGTAGTTCCTCTAGTCTTGCTGAGGTCCTCTACCTGAGATGAATTAAGTAAATAGTCCAAGTGTCATGGTTCCAATAGATGAAACCAATTAAAAGAACTTCAAGGTAAAGATTTCTTCCTTAAAGAGCATTTTATTCAGGAAACAAAGTATCGGCACTTACATAGTTGAACCCAAAACTAAAGTTCCCTCCCCCCCATACAATGTAACAAGTTGCAATTCCCACCCCAGAAAGGCTGTCGTTAAATCACATTCACCAATTAATCTAAAACGGGGGCTCTCCTCCCCACTTCACAGCCCGGCCAAAACTTTATCTAGAATTGACCTTGAAGCTCACCCAGCTGCAATTGTTTAGGCTAACTTAAAATGCTCAAGCATTCCCCCCTTTTACATCTGAGAATCCCAAGCAACAGAAAAAGCACAAGTGAAGCAGAAGGTAAAATGGCTGCAATTTCTTAATTGTCACAGCGTTGACCCCAAGACTTAGATTGTCTCATTTTAATTCCAAATTGCTTGCTCTGGTGCTGAGTTGCCTCTAGTTCCTGAATAACAATAAGGTAACAGCACATTGGTATGATTTTTTTTTCCCCCACAGGTGTTCATGTTGGATACCCAGTGCTCCCCAAAGACACCCAATAACAAGGAAGGGTTTGAGCATGCTCAGTCTTGTGTGCTTATTATTGAGCTGCCTCCTGATAAGAAGTCCAATGGCCATTCGCAAAAAAGGTAAGAAACAGATTTCTAAGATTAAACAACAAGCAAAATGAGGCAGAGGAAAGGCACTTTATACTCATATTAATATTTGGATAGTTTAGTGCAGGGGTCTTCAACCTTGGCCCTTTTATGACTTGTGGACTTCAACTCCCAGAATTCCTCAGCCAGCGGGCCTGGCTGAGGAATTCTGGGAGTTGAAGTCCACAAGTCATAAAAAGGCCAAGTTTGAAGACCCCTGGTTAAGTGTCTTACAGTGGAAAATAAAAAGTAGTTGGAATGTGTAATTCAGTAGATCAGATGTTTCCAACCTCTGCTCTACAATGACTCCCTTTAAATAATAAATAAATATTGGTAAAAAGAATGAATGGGGATGAAAAAGAAATATAAATATTTTGTCTTTAAATTTTACTCTGTACACCTTGGGATGTTCAAGCTTTGCAATAGAATAAGGAACATAGACTGCAGCAAACGTTGATAGTGCAAGATTTAAAAACTGGCGACTCTCTTTCCGAGTTGCTTATGACCCCTTCCCCCACCAAGCAGTGGTGACTTGCAGTTTGAGAAGTCCAGCGTTACATATGGTCTTGCCTCAGAATAAGAGTGTGGTGGTGAACTTCATAAAATATCCTTGGCACCATTAGTGCATGCTTAAGATGCAAACCCTCACAGCAAACCACAGATTTGCACCTCTAACACTGAGTTAGCCAAAGTATGTGAGAGGGAAGGGGGAATATATGTACAGTATGATGAAAAACTTTTTTTTTAGAAGATATTGCAGAAAGCCGACAGCCCTTAAACTCAGATTTCTGGATTAATTGTGAGCATTTGTACAAACTATGAATTCATTGTAGGAATGAATAAATAACATTCATGCC